GGGGTGCGGGGGGGCTGCAGGGACAGGGATGCTCCGCTCTGCCCCTCCGAGCTGCCACGCTGGGGACATTTGGGGCACGACCTTGCCCAGCATTTCGGTGGCAGCGGGGCAGATCTGTGGGCTCTGAGCTGCACTGGGAGGTGTCTCCTGAACGCACTTTATTTATCTGATGATTTTCGCGTTTCTGTTCTCTTTGCTGGTTCCCTGAGCCTGTCCCAACCAGCGGCTCTACGGGGGCTTGGTTCACAGCGTTCTGTGCCAGCCCTTCCCAGCCAGGCAGGACATTTTGGAGGTGCTTCCTTCCCTGAGCACACCCCAGGGACCTCAGAGGCTGCTGCAGGAGGACACAGACGCTGTGGCTGGGCTGAGAGCTGGATGTGGCTCCCAGCAGGCAGAAGGACAAACCTCATGCCTGGGTTTTTCACACTCTCATAAACAGTGTCATTTTTAGCAAGACAAGTCATTTAAGGCTCAGCTTCCTCCCTCCCTGAGGAGGTGGGAAAGGTCTTTGGTTATAATGCACCTCTGCCAGCTTGGCAAACCCTGCTGTTATCCCCCTCATGAGTTTAGATGGGTTTTATTTAGAGACCTGTACTGAAGAGAGGCCAACACATAGCAGGGTTTTCCTGGTGTGGAGCAGGTGATTTTGTTCCTCCCTCAGCTCAGGTGTGGGCAGGGTGGAGTTTGTTACAGCTCCTTATGAAAGGGCAGGGTGAGGTACAAGCTGCCCTAAGAAAGGGGGGTGGGAAGTGCTGGAACAGGTACTGAGGAGCCATCATTGTCCTGTGGGTTAAGAAATCTGCCCTTGCAGTTTACTCTGTTGTTTCATCTTGAGCAATGTAATGTTCTGAAGAGCTCTTCTCTTTGAAGTTTGGCTGGAAATCTGAGGAGCAATGAGCCCTGAGCTCAGCACGGGTTCTTCATGTCCTTTGGCTGCTGGTGGCTTTGTGCAGGGCTGGGTTAATCCCAGTGCCAAGGTGTGGGGGGCAAAATTATGCTGGCACATCCACCTGAGCTCAGGATGCAGTTGGGACTGCCCAGCAGATGTCACCTCCCAGAGCTCTCCAAGTGCCAGTGGGAGGGTGAATGTGAAAACTGGGAGATAATTTGACTTAAAAAGCTGGTAAACTCTGAGCTGTAATGGTAGATGTGAGAAACTGACTACGTAAGTATTATTAATTATGCCTTTAGCAATAATGGAGATCCACATTTTAAATAATGGCGCTTTTAGCCTAGTGGTATTTGAAGTGTTCTGTTGGGAGAAGGTGGATTCCAAATGTGCTGGTTCCTGGCTGAACCTGCATGGTCACCTGGAGGTTTGGGTGCTGTGATGCTGAGTTTGTGTTGGTAAGGTTCGAGTTTGTTCAGTGAGTGCTTGGAGAGGCTCAGCCATGAGGTGCTCCAGGCACCAGCAGCTATTGGAGGGTGAGTGTGGAGCTGGCTGGAGCCACCTTGAAGCAGAGGCATTGCCTGTGGTGAGCCCCCAGTTTGGCAGGTGTTTGAATTCCTTCACACAGGCAAGGGCTTTGCTGAATCAGACACTGATGGGAAGCTTTTTTTGGCAAAGAAATGAAGACTGATGAGCTATTACAGATTTGATACCAGCTAGGATATGGCTGCATCCACTCTATTTGTCCAGAGCCAGCAGGGAAGGAGCCTGTCCTGCCCTCCTGTGGGGCTGTGCTGGTGTAAGCACTGCCCTGTTCCTGAGTATTGTGAGAACTGTGCTGTGCACCTGACACGAAGCAATAAACAGGCTGAGACAGAATTGTTCCTCTTATATTTATGATTTATTTGGCTATATCTGCATTAGCATAACTCTGTAAAACCTGAGAGAAAGTCTATGTGAAATCCTGGGGTCGGAGGGCTGTGCCCAGCACGGTCCTTGCTGTGGGGCCCTCTGGGGAAAGGCACCACTCACAGGCACCCCTCAATGGGAAGCACTGAGAGCCTTTTTACGGGACTCAGGGTCTGGAAAAGTCCTGAGATGAGGCCCAGCCTGTGAGGAAAGGAGCAGAGAGAGGATTGGTTACAGCCAGGAGCCAGCCACAGAAAATAGGTTGAAGTACAGACAGGGAGGAGACTGCAGATTGCACAAGGGCTTTGGCCTGATTGGGAGATGTTGCTCCAGCTGAAGTTAAACACTTAACCTGCTTAAAACAAGGAGTAGTTTTCTGATTGACTTCAGGAGACTCTTATTCTGCTCTAGCAACAAAACCCTATCATTTTATTGTGGTATGTTTGTTGTCTGACATTTTCAAAGGCTGCCATGCCCTGAGGTGGGTCCTGAAATAAATATGACTTGTTTTCTACAACACAGGACTGGGTGCTTCACTGAGGGGCCAGGAAGGGCTCAGAGCTCCCAGAGGAGTCCCTGGTGAGGGCAGGGGCTCTTACACCACCGTCCCTAAAAACACAGAAGCAGCAGCTCCCCAGGAATCACCTTTGAGTAGGGACAGGATAAAAAAATCCCCGTAACAATAATCAATCAAAAGGGAAGTAATCTGGGGGTAGAAAGGTCCCAGGACCCTTTGGGGTGAGCAGTGGGGCTCACACAGAGCTGTGTGCAGCAAACCTGCACAGGAGATTCAGTGACTGAGACTGGAGCATTTTCCATGGGGGGCCACGGGCTCTGCCTGCCCCAGCACAATTCCCTGTGCCATACATCTGCCTCGTGTGGCTGTGCTGAGCTGCCTCCCGCTTCCCCCACCCTGCTCAGCCTGGCTGGATGTCAGGTTTTGCATATGTAAAAATACAGAGCAGTCTTTGCCCTGAAAAGCTTGCTAGTGATCTCATTAATCAAGACAAACAAAGCATATTTAGCTATTCCCCCTCTCTGGAGGAAGGCATTCAGGTACTTAAATATGCATTTGAGTGCCTAACTTCAGACAGCTGTTTCTGGATGTTTTTGCTTTCTCACAAATAGCAGCAGTGATATAACCCCTCTTGGGGAGGGAGAGGTGTGGAAGGCAGAACCAGGGGCTGCTGAAGTTGGTGGGTAACCCCAGAGAGCTGGCAGGGACAATCCCTGGTTGTTCCAACTCCAACCTGCCATTAAAGATGCAGCAGTTTTCCCCTTGGAGCTGGGATTGATAGAAAAAATCCAGTGCTTGCAGGTAAGGACAGCTGAGCTGCTTCTCATTGAATTCTCATTGAATGTGCCTCTGCCTTCTTGTTGTGCTCCCTCATCCAGCAGTGCTGGGAACTGGGCACAGGGACATTTCTGCCTGGGATAGTGTTGAAGCTATAGGAGAGGAAACAGCAGTTTATTCACTCTTATCTTGGTACAAAGCTCCTGGCTGAGAAATGTCCCACTGAGCCACAACTGGCAGTGATTGAGGTGAGCAGAGGTGATCCTTGAGGAAGTTGTGAGGGATGCCAGTTCCTGCCCTCATCAGGAGTGAGGGGGAGGCACCAGGTGCAGGACAGGGGCAAGTGCTGTTATAATAAATGAGAAACCCTCCCAGTCATTAGAGTCCAGATGAGGGTGGCCTTGGGTCAAAGGTCTTATTATCACAGACACTGGAGTTGAGCAGTCAATGCCAGTGATGAATCCTCATCTCTGGTTCTTCTAATTCATATTTTAAATGATGGACCCAAAGGTACCCCCTCTAGAGACAGCTGATGATCTCTGTCATTACTCTGCTGCAGTTATGGGTGGCTATGCCAGGGTTGTGTTTGGAGCACTGGCTGCAGCAGGACAGGAATATGGTTTGTAGGAAAAAGCTGAAAGGTTTTCCTTGCAGGATGATGGAGCTGCCATGGGCTCCAGCTGCTGCTGAGGAGCAATGCTTTGCTGCTGCACATTGCATTTGTTAGTGACAAGTGAAAGCCTGCAGGACTCTTGCAGCTGGGACATTGTGAGGTCAGTGTTTGCTTCACAGAATTAGAGGGGGAAGAAAAATAATTACCACTCCTAAAACTTAAATATGTGTTTGGGGGGCATTATCTTTAAGGTTTCACAGTTATAATAATGCATTAAATTGGAAGATACATTAAGGCAGATGTGTAATTGAGGGCTGATAGATTGCATGTGAGATGCAGAAAGGCCAAGCTGGCGCAGGGAAGTTAGAGCTCCCCTGATGGTGGCAAACCCCAGGGAGCAAGCAGGGTTTTGTGGGCTCCATAGCTGGGCCCTGTGAGCACACCTGGGTACAAAATAAACTCAGCTTATGGGGGGAGTTTTAGTTACTAGAGCTGCATTTAATGGATTGTGGTGATGAGAGAACCCATGGAAAGGCCTGAAGCGAGTAATGAACAGCACCAGGCTCTCCTCCCAGCCTGGAAGGATCCATGGGGACGTGGCTGTCCCTGTTCCTCTCCCAGTACCTGTGTGGCTCTGCCCACCTGCTCCCAGGCAGCTCCCCAGCCTTGCAGCATTTTTCACTTTAACAACAAAGCTGCACTGGGACTCAGCCATGTTCCTCCATCATCCATTTGATCGAATCCTTTTAGCGGGTGACAAAACACTTTCCTGTGCTCACTTTACAGGAAACCAATCTCTCTTCTTTTTATCTTTTTTTTTTCTTTTTTTTTCTCTGCCGAAACAACACAAAACGGTGGATTTTTTTTTTTTTCAGGAAAGGGAGGAAGTAAAATAAACAATACAGAGAGGTAGGGTGCAGACACTGACGCTCAGCACGCCGAGCATCCCTGTACAGACAAAATAATAATAAAATAAAATAAAGTAAAATAAAATAAAATAAAAAAACCCCAACCCCGCGCGCGCACATCGGGATGCAAATGATTTTTTTTTTTTTTTTTTCCGTGAAGCCACCGCTTGTAAAGCTTGACAGAAAATAATGAGAAACACTAAATCTTTTATAAGGTCAACACTCAAGCAGCTGTCAAACAAGAAAAGAATTTAGCGAAAGATCCGCAAAAAAACTTCCATCGCCTCATTAAATCCAAGAGGGCCGGGGCCCGGCGTGGTGAGGAGGCACCGGGGCGCCTCCGTTTTGTGTGGGTAATTTGTGGCGGAGCAGGAGCGGAGAGCAAACAGCGAGCGCCGAAGGGGCCTTGGGGGAGGCTGGGGAATCGTTAGTGCGCCAGGAGCGGCCTCCGCTCCTAATTGGAAGCATTGGGCATTATCAACGGAGGATTTGCCTCGGCTCCCTGACAGCTCTCTAGGCCTGGAATGATAGCCCACTTGTCAGTGTAAAAGACCATTAAAAACAAACCATTTTGATTTAATTGGAGGCGGTGTGCTGGGGGCCCAGGTGAGGCGCTTCATCAGCCGATGTTGGCTGCTGATGCCTTTTTCCTTCTGTATTGATGGCTTTTTTTCTTTTTCTCCCCTCCCTTTCAAAAACTGTCTAGGAAAGAGAAAGAGGTGCTGAAAGATCCTTCACAGCCGCATCGAGAGCGGCTTTCAATAGGGTTGTCAACAAATGCCATGACAAGTTAGAGAGAGGCAGGTACTTTTAAAACAGACATTATTCTGTCCAAGATGAGCTGTGTTCAGAGGTGAGTGTTGGATTATTAGGGTTACAAATAATGTGGCTTTTCCTGCCAGGAGGATGCTTAGCTGACTTAATGAATGGGGTTGGTTTTTCTCTCCCCACCTTTCTAAGAACAGAGGGAAATGCAGGACAAGGGAGCCTGGGCTAAATGATCTTTATTTGCTTCAAGCCCAGGGAGGTTTCAAACAGTGCTTGGCAATTTTGGGATGCTGTATTTAATGTCCCATGGTGATTTGGGTTGGGGTTTTTTTTTTCCCCTTCCTGAAAATAATGGCCACAGATATTTGCTGGGGTTCACTGGTCATTTGGTCTGGACAACAGCATGAGGAAAGAAGAATTAACCTGCTGCAGCTGTAACCTGGTGTGTGCCCCCCACCTCCCTGGCAGATGTTTCAGGGTCAGACCAGAGCTAGCAGCTTTCATACTGACCTCATGTTCTTGACATCTGAATCCTGACACTTTTCATGCCAGGGAAGAGTTTTACTTAAAGTTGTCTTGATAAATAGCATCTCTGCAGAAGTCACCACAGGGCCATTAATGAAAGCCCAAATCCATGTTAAAAGCATTTCCATGGAGCTGTGTACTGGGAGCAATGGCAGGTGCTCACCCATAACCCAACACAGCGTGTGTGGTTTCACCCTGCCACAAGCTGTGAGCACCCAAAACCTGTTCCCTCATGGGTGAGAATCTCCAGAAGAGCAATGGGAATTGGTTGCCAACTGTTCCTTGTGCTGCCTTTGAATACTGGGGCTTGGTTGTAGGTGGAGCCTGCCCTGGAGATGAGCTAGGCTGTAAAGCTGCACAGGAGAGAGTTTTTTTTTGTTTTCCTGTGTTAATCAGAAGATGTCCAGAGCAATAGAAATGACAGAGGAGTGATGGTCACTCTGTCTCTGAGGGAGACGCAAGGAAGTGCTGAGCGTGGCAGGTAATGGTTTTTACTAAGAGAAGCTGAATTGGGATAAGATATAAGAAGTTTTTTTACAATGAGGATGTTGAAATACTTGGACATGTTGCCCAGAGAGGTGGTGGGTGCTCCATCTCTGGAACATTCAAGGTCAGGTTGGATGGGCTCTGAGAAACACTATCTGCTTGAGGATGACCCTGCTCCCTGTGGGGGGAACTAGACTAGATGGCCCTTAAAGGTTCCTTCCAAGCCAAAATATTCTGTGACAGAGGGCAGCACTGGGTAGGATGAGAGGTTGAGTGTCCAGGGCACGAGGGCTAGTGGGAAAATCTGGATCACAAAAATGCTTTGCTGTGATTTGAACAATGGTATTGCTGGAACCTTTGGCTGTGGAGGCAAAACAAGAAAACCTCCAGAAGCTGCAGGGAAATGAAGTGATGGTGACAGGGGCCCAGAGCCTGCAGGTAGCCATGGAAGGGCTGTGGGGTGGGAGGTGACATCTCTGATGTGGCCACAGAAGAGATGTCCAGGGATCATGCCCAGGGCAGCAGGGGCTGTGCTGCCTGTTTGGAACCCTGCAGGGTGTTGTGGTCTCTGTTTGCATTGTGCCTGCCACAGGCCAGTGCTGCTGCTTTGGATTGTTACTGCAGGGCTGGCAGCCACCAGCTTGTGTCACTTGGGCCACTGAACAACCATCAGCTGACACTGATTTTAATTCTTTTTGGTCAGCCAAAGTCCCAGCTGAAGGGAGGCTTGATCTGGTAGTGTGGTGACAGGAAGCTCTTGAACTTACTGATTTATTTTCTAAGCACTATTTAGGCCCCAGGAGAGGAGTTTTATAACACTCCAAGTTCCAGAAGTTTTTTTGCCCTCAAACCCAGGAGGACCAATGCTGCACCTGAACAGCCAGCCCTGTGTGCTGTGTGTATCAAGCCCAGGTTATTTAAGCAGAATCTGTGGCTTTTCTGACAAGACAACAGCTGCAAGATTACATGAGCTGTGCTTGTCAGTTCAGCTCTATAGACAAAAATAGAGGTAAGGCATTAAAAAGAAATGCGGAACATTTTTGTGTGTACGTGTTAAACCTCAACTGTTAATTCTGACGAAGGATCAGGCTGTGAGCAGATATCAGATCCCTGGTGAGAATCAAATTCTGGAGCCCAGAATTTTTGCTGCAAAGTTTATACAGTGGGGATTCCTCTAATTACTTTCAGTGGAAATTTACCTGACAGAGCTTTCCCAGGTAATGCAAGGCATACGCAGGAGAGCCACTCAGCCGTTGACAGAGCCTTTGATTTTGTGCCAGGTTGCAAATTAAGTCTTTTGCCAAGGTACCCGAACACTTGCTCGTCAATTGCTTATCGCTTATTCATATTGCGCGTTTCATCTGCTCGGGGCGCCAGCGCACAAAAGTCTTGTCCAAAGTTGCTGCATTTTCTTTCCTTCCCCTTGTTTGGTCAAGTAAACAAGCACCTGAGTGTCTCTGTGAGCTGGGATTCTCTAATGAGCAAAGGAAGAACCCTGGTGTGTGTCAGTGACAGGAGGTGCATGGATCTGTTTTGACACGTTGGTGAATTCTGTCCCGTGTTGCTGCTTTGTTGCTATCCTGAGTCCTTCTTGGCTTGATGGAGCTCTGGAAATATGTTGGGGGCGGCCAGCATTGACTTACTGGTTTGGGTAGTGACTGTCAGACATTCAGATGGAGGTGACTGGAGCCTCACCCCAGCCTGGCACAGGTGGAGATGCTGCATCTGGGCAGCAATGTCCTTTCCAGAGTTTGGTTGACACCTGAGCCAGCAGGTGAGGAGTGACATATCCACTGAACACAGGGGACAGGAGGCTGAGAGAATTGGGATTGTTCGGTCTGGAAAAGAGAAGGGTTTGGGGTGACCTGAAGGGAACTTAGAGGAAAGATGGGGAAAGCCTATAAGAGCCTGGAATGACAGGACAAGGAAGAATGGGTTCAAACTGAAAGAGAGTAGCTTTAGATTAGATACTGGAAAAAAATTTCCATGTGAGGGTGGTGAGACATTGAAACAGGTTGTCCAGGGAAGCTGTGGCTGCCCCATCCCTGGATGTGTTCCAGGCCAGGCTGGATGGAGCTCTGAGCTAGCTGGTCCAGTGGAAGATGTCTGCTCATGGCAGGGCGGTTGGAATGAAATGATCTTCAAGGTGCATTTCCAACCCAAACCATTCCATGATTTATGTCCATGCTGGGTGCCTGAGAGTACAGTCCCCAGGAAATGTAGTCCCACATCTACAAATAAATTAAGTTTTGGTGCACAGTCCCAGCCATGCTGGCAAAACCTGAGCCCTGGAATTGTCACTTCAGGCAAAGCAAGGCAGAGGCTGTTTGCTTTGAGGAAGAGGAAGGCAGTAGAACCATCTTGCTGATGTGAATAAGGAGTTAACATCTGCTTGGTTTAGTTAAAAAAAACCCATACAAACACAAAAAAACCCCACTAAAATGCAGCATCTTTCCCTAATGAACTGCCCATCAGGACAGGAATGGCTCCCTGTGACCTGTTTGTCTTGGTGAGCTGGGGAGCCCAGGAGACCACAGGCCAGGTCAGCCCTGCAGAGGTGACAGAGCAGGAGCACCTGGTGTTGGAGAGCCTGTAAATCACCCTGTTAGTTTAACATCCTGGGCCATTATTCTAAAGCAGTGGGGCTGAAACCTAAATCCAAATGAAAATATAGTCAATTTGTCCATACTTTACTGACTGAATGACTGTGTAATGTCATGCAGCTCTGGCAGTGCAGGGAGCAAGCAGATGCAATTAGTGGGGAGGAAAAAGCTCCTTTATTTTCTTCTCTTCCACTTCTTGGGTAAGGTTTCATGGTGCCAGGGACTGAATGGAAAGCCCAGTTAAAGAGCCAGCAGAGATATCCATGCCCGGTTTCTGCAGCTCTCTGCTAGGGGTCATGGTGGAAATAAAAAAGTCTTTCTTGATGATTTTTATGGGCCTAAAGGAACAAAATCTCACCTTCCTGCTGCCCCTGTTTTGGAGTATCACTCTTTCAATGGCTGGGTGTTGCTCCCCTCAGACCTAGAGCAGGCCAGACTGAGAGTCTCTGAATAATCTTATCCAGAGTCTGGAGTATTTCCCAAGTCATGAGCATCTTCTGTACTGGTCAGAGCAGGACAAAGTCACCAAAAGCTGGTAGGAAATAATGTGCAGATGGAGTTTGCTAACAAGCTCTCTGTGTAGTGATATTTTTGTGGTTGTTTTTCATATTCTTCTTGCACATTAGGATGAGGATGTTTACATGGATTAGAGGCAGTGTTTTTGTCAATTGTCACCTCAGTAAAGACTGGGACATTGACTCCTGGAGTTGCTGGGTTAGGTCAGTCTGGCTTTCAAAACCATTCCATCGCCTCTGTAGAACCCACCTTAACAGGAGTAGTTAAAGAACAGTTTAGAGACCACCAAATGTCTTTGGGAACCCTTAACTTCCTCCAGGTTGTTACTGCTTTTAACTGGGTAGACATTTATGGATGTTAGAGGAGTTATTCTTCTATGGAGGAAACCATGCACTGAAGGTCAAGTGAGTAACAAATTCCTTGATCCAAGTTCTAATGTGGGCTGTGTCTGTTAGATGTGCAGCTGGGGAAGGGAAAACCTTCCAGGGTAAAGGAGAGCTTTGGAAAATCTGCAGAGGCTGTGCAAAATGAGCTGTCCCTCTTCCCCAGAGGGAAGGAAGAGGAAGAAAGAAGAAAAAGGAGAAAGAGAAGAAGGAAGGATTTGGAGGCTTGAGAGCTGTGGCCGGGGCAGGAGCCCAACCGCAGCCATGGATGAAACAAAAGGGAAAGCACAAAGCAAAACCCAGGCTGAAAAATGAACAGTGATGGAAAGGTCTGGGGTGAGAGGAGCTCTAAAGAGGAGGCTTGCCCCAGTATCTCGTGTGACTCTCACAATCTGTTTAACAGCGATCGGTCATGTTCTCTTGCTGCCATCGCCGCAGCAGCAGCTCCGAGCTGACAGGCAGTGGGGATAAATGATTACTGACATATGCTAATCGGGCACTCTTAGACAGGACAGTAGAGGAATACATCAAGGTGCTGCAAAGCACATTTCTTGGGCAAAACTCTCCAACTTGTACAAGCAAATTACCTTCAGGAAATCACAGAGCTTCTTTGCTGATTTAAACTGTGGTTAGAAATCAACAGCAAAAAAAATAACCTCATCAGAAGAAGGGCTGGGAGAGAGCTGAGAGCTTTTTGCAGTGGTATCTATCAATGCCAAAATTTATTTTGGCCATGCAAACTCCCTTTAGGGTTTCAGTGCTTTCACTTCATGGTGTCTCCTTTCCATTCCACTGGTCCAGTTATTTCCCCTTCTCTTCTAAAATTCCCCCTAGCTCTTCACTGGAAGTTTCCATATAATTTACACCACAAACAAAGCTAATGGAATTCTTACAAGTACCCCACAGCACAGCAGGTTGCACAGATGAATTCAGGGAGATGTTTAGATCCCATCACCAGAATAAGAAATCTTCACCTTGGCTCTTATTTGGATCAGTTAAAGGAAGTATCACACATATCTCTAACCTGGCCAGACCCTTTGCTTTGTCTCAGGGTGAATATTGTCAAACAGGTAGTTTAGAGAGGTATCAAGAGTGCAGGCTGTCTGGAAAGCTCTAATTCTGGGGTGGTGACTGTCCTGCTTGTGTAGGGCACTTGTAAAGCAAAAGGTCTGGCCAGGTTAGAGATTAAGCTTAAAAATGTTATTTTCTCGGCACCTGCTGCCTCTTCCAGGGCTTATGGACAGCAAAAAAATATCCCACCCTGATGTTCAAAAGGGGCTGATGGTTGAACCCATTTGGGACCATTTTAAGGTCTGGGTCATGGGGTTTGATTTAAGAGCCTCATTCATTTGTGTGCTAAGGATGTTATTGGGGCACGTGAGCAAGGTTAGGAAGTCCCTGGTTTCAATCAGGTGTTTGTAGAGGCCTGGAAAAGTTGACTTTGGTCACGGGATGGGATGTGGGGGCCCATACCTTCTCAAAGCGCTGTGGGTGCCAGAAGGACTCCTCCTTCACGGGCAGTGGGTGCGTGCGCAGGAACGTGGTGCGGTTCTCACGCACTTCGCCAGTCTGCAACTAAAGGGGAAACAAGAGTGGGCTCAAACAGCTGCACTTCCCTTGGCTGCAACCAAAGGTGAACAAGAGCAGGCTCAAACAGCTGCACAGCCATGCACCATCAGCTCTGGGTCATGCAGTGCAGTGACAATGGGATGGAAGAGGCCAAAAGCCGCTTTGGGCGGAGGAGCACAAGTGCACGATCTGGGAAGTTTTCCTTGTCCATGCGGCCAATACTGATGGTTAAAACACACCATCAGCTGTCAGCTCTGAGTATCTGCATTAAAGAGCATCCCAGGGAGGTGCCCACTGGAAGCCCTGAGCTGCAGTAATGGCTCATCCCTACCTGGGAAAGTCACTTCCAGCACTCCCACCATGGTGGGGTTTCCTGGCTCTCCTGTTTAATTGCAGGCCACTGTGCTTGATAATCCCAGCACAAGCCAGTGCAGGTACCTGGTGAATGTTTTAGCCACTGCATGAAACCCTGGGAATCCATCTGCTCTGTGGTCTAGGACCAAACACAGGTTTGTGTTGCTTAATTCAGTAATTGGTGGCTGCAGGCTCTGGGAGCTTGATGGAGGCAACTTAGTGATTAAAAACATCAGTCATTAATAGATAAAGTAGGGATGCACTTTCTAACATCCCAGGCTGGTGTATTCATAAAATAGCTGCTAATTAAGGACACTGTATTCCTGCACTTCAACTATAAAGCATAGTTTGTGATGGCAGTAAGCCCATTGAAATTGGTCATTACCATATTAGCCTGACTCTTCTTTGAGCCATTAACTAATAAAAGTCATTGGCTGCTTTTAAATGATATTACAATGTTGGTGTATTTAACAGCACAGTCTTGCACTCCAACAACTGCTGTGGGTGCTGCATCAACCACACCAGGTTCAGGGCTGGGGCTGTCCTTTCAGCGGTAACCTGAGCAGAGCTGATGTCCAAAGGACAGCCTGTGGGGCTCCTGGCAGGAGAATGCTCATCTTTGTTAGGCTCCATCAGCCTTTTAGTAGTCAGGGGGATGTTCTTCCAGCTGAGAGCCCTTCCTAGGGCTGGGAGCTGCCCATCTGTCCCTGTGGGGTAGGACAGTGGGGGGCTGTGCCCATCAGGGGAAAGCATTGCTGGACTATTCCCACCTTTTTCTTCACCATGTGCTGGACTACAGTCCGTGCTCTCTGTTGCTCCATCCACAGCTCCTTGTATCTGTGTTGTATGAGGTCAAAAAACGGTGTGGAAGGCCTGGAAATGTTGAAAAGACACAGATGTAATCTTTGCCTCCTTGTGCTGGTTCACATCTCTGCTCCTGAAAAGTGACTGGTGAGAACATGAATAAAGCCTTGCACTGGGAAAGGCTTTCTCCTCCTCAGGAAACCTCAAACCCACCATCATTTGCAGTGAACACACCACAGCCTGCACACATGTGGGGTAAGCTGTGCCAGGCATTCTCCAGAACAAAGACAGGAACAATTCCTCTCTTTGCACAACCTTTAACAGGGCAGGTTTCAGCAGCTCTGTCTGAGCCCTGGTGTGCTGAAAGGACCACAGGGCACCACAGGCTGCAGCTCAACTTTGGGCCCTGATAGAGCTTCAGGAGAGCATTTCCCAGCTGGTGCCCAAGGGAGCAGCTCTGGATTCCCTCCAGGGGAAGAACCCCTGGGTGCCAAATGTGTTTTGCTAAAACAACACTGCTTTTGCTATTGAAATCTCTCTGATGTGGTGCAACAAAGGCTGCAAACATGTGATGATGGTTGGGGTGAGTTAGTACTGTCCTAAGCAGTCTGAATAGGGCTAAAAATGGAACCAATGCAGATGGGCAGGTGTCTGCAGCAGAAAGGGGAGCCAAAATGCTGAGCCCTGGTCTGGTGCCTTAGCTGCACAGAGCTGGTGTATTTGCCCCTTGAAAGAGGATTTCAGGGAGCAAGGAGGGACAGCAGAGGGGAGGAGCTGCACATGAGCCTGTCTCTAGAAAAAGAGTAAAAAGGCACTGGTTTGTTGGCCAGTGTCCCATTCAGCTGCTCTGAGCTGGCATTAACCTGACTAGCTTGTGGCAAAGCTGCTGCCTGAAATTGTTGAGCCTTGCCCCTTGCAAGTGAGGACACTTCATCAGCCACCATGGGAGACAGACCTGGCAGTGACAGGGACAGCGAGTCAGTAACTCCCATGGTCCTGCTGCTATTCCTTTTCCCCAGAAGCAAACACCTGAAGGTGATGAAGGACCTCAAGCTCAAATTTTACTGGTCCTTGTCCTTGCACACCTTGCTGAGGAGGGACTTTTCCCATCTTGGCAGCAGCTGATGGCTGTGGAGCTCTCACACAGGTGGCTCTGCTCCCACCTGTAGCCTGCAGAGCCCTCAGCTACAGCTCCCATAGCAGGGTCAGTGCTTTCCCTGGCTGTCCAGACCAACTGCAGGACTCTGGGGACTTGGGACAGCTGCTGGGCTGCTTCTGGGCCACCAGCTCCACCTGTTTCTGCAAAGAGCCCTCCTTCCACAGAGTGAGCTGGTGCTTCGTTTATGGTGGGAGTGGGTCCAGAATTGACAGCTGCCAGCTTTTAGCAGCCTGGAGAATCCTTGATGATCAGGGAGGGTACCAGCAGCCTGTATGCAAATAGTAACTCTTCTGTTTCTTGTTCCATCACCCCCGTGGTGACTTTTATTACTTAATTATTGCACACCACATGCTTCAAAACAGCCTAATGTATGCTTGTGTTTTCTAATGGTACTGGATGTGCAATCCAGCAATATCCATCCCAAGGGGACATTCATATCAGAGGAGACATCCTTCTGCAGGCCTCCTTTTTCATAGATCACATGCTGCAGGGCTTTTCAAGCCTTTGCTTGCAAATCAGCTCTGCTGCTCCAGACCATTATCTGGAGACACCCGGTGCCAAAGGAGACACTGACATTTGCCCTTTGTCCCTTCTTCTTTCCCTTCCAGTTTGGCATTTCATGCTCATCAGAGCTGGGAAAAATATTTAAAAGGTTAAAAGATGTGGTGAACCAGTGGTCAAGTATGTTATTATCTGTTTGTGTCTCCAGTCTTGTAGTGTGCTGTAAATGTTGGCTTTTCTGACACAAGCACATGGTAAGCACTCCTGTCCCTTTGCTCTCCTAGGCAAGAGCTTTCCTGGCGTGCAGGAATAGCAGGGAGGGATGCAGGGAAGCACTGAGCCTTTGTGTTTAGTCTTTGATTATTGATTTTTTATTTTTTTTTGGAAGTTGAATGTGTTTTCACATCTCTATGGAGGTGACTTTTACCATCTCCAGTGGACCAGCCAGTTGGTGACTGATTAGTCCACAGCTGGCTTGTAAGTAAATGCTTGAAAGGACACATTTGGGTTGATGCTCTTCAGAGATCCTTCCCTGCTGTGTGATTAATTGCATTTAAGTCCTGATCCAGCAAAGTATAGAATCATGCCTGGAGTGATGCACACATGAACTGCCTCTCTCAAATTGGGAGGAATGACTTGTGTGCTTGGTTTTCCACGTAAGCCCTGGTGTGGCTGTAGGATGTGAGGCTTCATCTGGCTCATCCTCCTTTGAGAGAAACACTGAGAGAGTAGGGAAGAGCAGGGATATGAGGGAACACCCTCTTTAAGATGACTGGAGGGATCTCAGCCAGGCAGCTTTTCCTTTGTAGGTCAAAGTCTGAACTCAGCAGAGCGGACAGGGAATTTGGCCCTGATATTGGTGCTGCTTGGTAATGTGATCTTACATTGGCCTTTGGGAAAATGTCCTTTTGCCTTAGTGTTACTTAAGGACAGGGATCAGTGTGGGATCAGGGTCAGGGCTTGTGTGTTCCCTTTCCTTTTGTCACCCTGCCTGGATGTCGCCCCTGAAGAGGGAGGATTTTGCTGTTGCTGTCTGCGGGTGCTGTGGGGAGAGCGGGAGAAGCATCCTCTGGAAATGCTTACTGCACATTAAAACTCATCTCACTCAGAGTAACTCAGATCTCCTTGTTTTGGCACAAGCACCCTGCCACAGAAAGGAAAGGCAAAGAAGTTCTGATAGGATGTAACAAATTATTTATAATTGTAGGGGAGAAAAAATACTCATCAGCTTCCTTTTATAGTCAAATAGTTGAAGCCACTTCTAATGCTGACATTTCCTAAATATTTTAAAATTTATCTGTGCACATTTTCAAAACTATTATCCCTGAAACAGTTCCTGTCTCTTTAATAGAATCTCTCTAATTTACTTTCAACAGTCAGGGTACAGACCTATTTTCAACTGAAATGACAAGCACCTGCTAACTTGGTTATACAACGTGGAATTCTAGTCTGCCAGACATCTCCTGGAAAAGAAGCTGCAGCCTCCTAATAGGCTATTTTACTGTGAAAACAGTGTTAAAAAGTATAATAAAGTATTAACAATATTAAAATAAAACAGTGTAGGCCTTAAATGAGCTACAAACTAGTTAAATCTATTCCATTCAATATGAGCCTTCAGTGCTTTGCAGCTGATACCTCAGAGCTGGGATTTATCTAAAATGAAGGCACCAGGGACATGCACGAGAAATGGTAATTATAATTTGCAAACATTAGGCTGACACTTTTTTGTGTATGTGTGTATAAATCCTGACAGCTGTGATTTGTGCCAATGCCAAATAGTGCTCCACAGTGCAGGGAAGGGCTCACTTTGTGGCAGGCCCTCCTCAGAGCAGCAGCTCATTAAAACTTTGGAGAAGGAGAAGTTGCCGAAAACAGGAAGGCGTCAGAACCATCTGAGAGATTTTTGGTACACGCTTGTTGAAAGGTGTTTCAGAAGAGAGCCTTGGGTCTGACAAACTGGAATTTTAGTACGCCTCCCCGTTCACAGTGGGGCAAAATAATTGGTCATCAGTGACTACTAATTTGGTTTAGTAGCCAGAGGCATTTTTTTTCTTCCCAGAAAATCAATGACAGTGCCGAGGTCTGTTCAACGTGATTCAGCTCAAGACGGGTCCTCATTTAGCTCTTGATGCTTCTTCCACTGGAGACAGCTATTTTGTTAAAATGAAATTAAAATCTATCTATAATACTCAGCTCAGGGAGCCGTGCCCGTCAATGCCATGCTGCTCTTGAGGTTTCAAGGTTGTCAGTCTCCCCTCAAACTTATTTTCAAAGGTTTATATATCAGCTGCAAAAAAAGGTACTTGGCAAAAGTGGGTACAAAGGACTTTGCTCAGGCAGAGGATTTACACCAGCTTGAAAGGTGCAATCAATTTGATTGCTAAGTTGTGTTGCAAAAGGGTAAAAATTTGACCTGCGAGTGCTTTTTTTTTTTTTTTTCCCCCTTGTATAATTCAAAAGCACGTAAATATTTTAGTGCAGACCTCAGCCTGTGGGGTTTGTGTGTGGCTCTGCAGCCTGGGCAGGATGGACAGGGGCTGGGAGTGGAGCAGGGAGCAGAGGACAGGCACAGGCAGTGGCTCTTGGGGCTGTGCCCAGAACACTGCCCCGATCCCAGGGGCAGCTTCCAGGCAGCAGAATCTGGCCCTGCATGGCTGCTTATGCAACAGATCCATCACGAGATGAATTTGTCCATGCCTGTGACACTAAAGTTGTATTGCTACACCACTGTCTACACTGAAACTTTAACCTTTCCTTGAAAGGTTAATGAGGTTTCTGGGGGGTTTAGTCCTTGCTGCTGTCCTTCTACCTAAGATGTGCTTTTGCTGCACAGTCAGGATCTGTCTGTGGGGCCTTCAGACCCCAGGGGACACAGCCACAGGGGCAGGGCACCACTGTTACATTCTTTACTTATGTCTTCATGCTGGCAAGGATTTGTTCTGTGCTGGAAGTGTCCATACAGAATCTCCCCATGGTCAGGCCAGCAGAACCAGTTCCCACCAGCTCAGGTTGGTTTCTTACAGAACCATTAGGGCTGGAAAATACCTTCAAGATCGAGTCCAATCTGTTTCTTATTGGGGAACATTTTGGTCTCCAGCACCTCTGGAGCGTGGGGCTCCTTGGGGCAGCTACCACCGGTATTAACTTCAGCAAATAAAGCCCAAGGCAGTGTCTGTGATTCTGTTTGGGGTACCCCCCAATGCAGGCATCACTGCTCAGGTCCCTCTGCCCTGAAAGGGGGGCTGAGAGGACAGGAAAATTCTGATTACGGCTCCCTTGCAGCGCTGTGTTGCCTGCCTTCCTCCCTGGTTCCGGATGGGCTGCAGGTAGCAATCCATCTCCCGTTAATTTGTCTGTGTGTAGCCCAGCAGGAAGCTGGGGTATGATTACAGCTCTGGCCCTTGTGTGA